ACACTTTTTTTTATCATCCAGAGAACTTTATAGATTTATCTAAAAAAGGAAAAAAGGAGCTGAGGAAAAGGGTTCAGACACTGACTCCAAACCGATGTGATTAACATGGTTTTATTTTTAAAGCTTAACTGTGACACGGGCATAATTTAGATTTTTTTTTAGATTGATTTGCTTGTTCGATATCAAGCTGTTCCTTTAAATATGGAGTGAATTCTAGTACAAGTTCTCTGGTCTCTGTTCAGACTCAGAAGAGGTTTTATAAGACAGAAATGTTGATATGCAATAATGCCTTTTGTTCCACCACAAGAAAAGTTTTTCTTTTTACAAAAAAAATAAAAAAATAAATAAAATAATAATAATAATAATAAAAAACTGCTTTTATAGACTTGCAGTGTGAGAATTTTAGAAACAAAAAGTTAGAGACTAACTCTGCCAAAACCCACTATCTGCAATAATCCAGGCTTTTAAAAGCAATTTTTGTTTATTTTTACCTAAATGCTGTTTAGTAGCTATTTTAGCAACAATCTTACGGACATTTGCTGCCTCAATAAAAATACCATGTTCTACTGTCATTCCAAGTAAATGTCAAATAGACTCTGCCTCTCATCGTATTTCAACCTCAGTCACAGATTACAGGACAGAAGATCATAGCAAATCTGCCTAATTCCAAAAAATTATGCCTTGTATTTCATGTATTTCATAGATTTTTTGAAAAAGATTTCAATTGAGGCATTGAATATTTAAAATGCAATTTGAAACAATAACATTTGTTCACTATTTACCGAATCCTCTCAAATTAAAGCAGAGTTTTTAATTTTTCATTAAAACATTTATGTGTGTAATTACAAATTAATTCAAACAACACTCATTTTCTATTTAACTCTAAGTATTAAGATAATTACTGCTATAAACTCTTTATTTATTCGTTTTTTTAATCTGAGGTCTGCATTAATGTGGATCAGTGTCTGACCTCCACAGTCGATCATGTTGTATTCGTTTGGTCGGTCCAGAGGCCAGCAGTCATACTCGCTGTTATCCAGGTCGTGCCAACAGAACGCAGGAAGGACTCGCAAAACACAGACCTGGAAGAAGAGACACAAAAACACATCAGTGAGAATAAAGAGAGAGAAACATCTGATGATGATGGATAATAAAGACATTTATGCTTTAAACATTTTAGAATTCAAAGTAAGGACAATAACATGATGCTGCTGATCTACAAACACACAGAGATTAAAACCATTTAGATTCAACCATAATAATAATAATTAAACACAAAATATCCTCCAGAAAACTTGCAGCCAGTATTGTCATATTTTGCTAATAATAATAATGATAATAATAAAAGCTGAGGATTTTTTCTTACCCACAACAGAAACCAAAGTCTCTGTTGTTTCTTCATGCTGCTGCTGCTGATCCACTGACAGACCAGGAGATCTGAAGCTCCTGAACCTTTCAGTCTGAAGATGATGATGATGAAGCCAGAGCAGAGAGAGAACATCAGTCTGCAGCTGATGAATCCTCACTGCCCTCTGCTGGTTGAAACAGTTACTACACTGTGTTTATAAAATATCAAAAGGCCTTTGAGGTTATTAAATAGTACTTTATAGTTTTCTCCAATTCCTAAAATGACTGAGGATAAAATTACTTACCGTACTATTAAAAATAGGAAGCATATTTTGGGTAAATGAAAGAGATTTGTTGCTCTGGAACAGTTTAAGAAGATGATATGTGCAGCAGTCCTGGACCAACTGTTAGATTGTAGATAATCTAGATGCTTTAATCTGAGAATAAAGGAGAACAGAAATACATCAGTTACAAATATTCAGATTATATCTCCTCTGGTCCTGTTTCTTTTCATAGAAACTGATTTTCTGTGTCAGGTAGGAACAGAGGAGAACAGGGAACCCCTGTCTGCTGATACCTGGTCAGTTGGGTGAGGCCTACTTTCTGCTGACTGCTTTAAGTTTGTGATGTTTTGGGCTCTTGATTGCTGCTTAAACCTGCTGATTTTTATACTGCTGCAGAATATGGATGACTGTGTTCCTGTCGATTTGAAGATTTCAATGCCAAAATAGAAACTTAACTGCAGCTGGGAAAAAAGCTATAATTAGAGGGTGTATCAACATTGTTCCCCTGCTCAGCGACTCAGTTTGTAAAGGCTTTAACGAGGATATTTTTAAAGTGAAAGTAAAATACGTTTTTTAAATTGCTTGTGAATCACATTAAAACATCGGTATTCATATATAAAGTACAGCATCTAAGGAGGATCCTCAGTTTGAGTTTGTGTCATTCATAAAGAAAGTACCCCTGGTTCAGAGATTCTGTTTAACTGTTTCCTTTCTCTGCTGTTGTGGGAAAAAAAGCATTCAACTGTGCAATCCCGTTAAATAATCCCTTTTATTAGCTTTTACAAAAAGAGAACAAGACAATCACCAGTTAGCACACTAACTTAAACCCTGCAGAAAGGCTGTGAAGGTTGTCAGAGCGCAGTTAATCAAAACAATTACAGACAGTTGGAGAAAACAGTAAAATGTTATAAATAAACCCATAGTGTGTCATGAGAAGGATGAGTTTATCTCAAACTCCCTAATAGGATAAACAACTCCTCTCCCTTAGACACTCTCTAGCTTTGCAGCTCTGAGACCTGAATTAATGCTTTTATCAGTAAATGTAAAATCAGCACTCATAAACCAATATATATAAAAAAGAAATTAATACCACTCTAGTCTCAGTCATTTATTGAGCTGTTGCTGTTTTTAATTCTTTGTTGTGTCGTAGTTGTGTCTTTTCCTGAAAGATAGATTTTTTTGCCATTAATTCCTGACTCTGTCTTTATTTAAAGAGACTCCCTCCTGCCCATCATTTATGTGTTCAACTGTGTCTCTGGTCGAAAAAGGAGATCTTGCTGACATTAGCTTTCTCAACTCTCTCTTCCTGCTGGTGAAGATTCTCTGTCATCCAGGTCATAGTTATTACAAAAAAGTAAAAAAACAGCAACAATCCACTGGAATTGGTTTCCAAATTTAAAGACGTTTTGCTTCCCATCCAGGAAGCTTTTTTTATTATTGTTGAGTTCAAAGCTTTATATAGTAGCCAAAAAACATCTTTTGGCTTAGAAAACATGCAAATTGAACCAGAAGAAGAAGGGGTCCACCCCTTAGGAATGGGGGTGGTTCTGGGTTTTTTGTTAGCCTGCCTCTGAAAGCGACAGTTGGTGGCTTGGCTGCCCAGGCGAGATGTTTAGTCCGCTGCATGGGGGGAAGTAGAGACTGACAGTTTTTCAGGAATCTCGTGGGATTCCCGTGCGATGGGAGTCAGTATTAGTAACGATCACGTGATTGGGACGGTACAGGATTAAACATTAACGGGAGCAGACGGGAGCGGGAGCAAACCAATTGTAACAAAAAAAAAACTAGGATCGATGCCAAAAAAAAAATTTAAATAGAAAGAAAAAAAATCCAGTACTGACGCCGCCATTTTGTAGTTTTTTTCCTTGAAGCCTACACTATAATGCGGGTCAAAAAAAACTACACGAGCCAAAAACCAACAGTGCTTCCGCTCTGAGTTTTTCACCCGCGCTCAAAAACAACAATGGAGGGACCAACAGGTAGTGGCGAACTCGACTTTGAAAAGTTTGATTTGCAACGCAAGCTGAATGGTAGTGGTGCAGGAGCGGGAGTCATTCTGAATGGGAGCGGGATGGGAGTGGGAGTAATTTCACCAGGAGTGGGACGGGACAGGATTTAGATTTCTACTCTGGCCCGGGATTGGGACGGGACACAATTTTTTCCTGTGGGAGTGGGACGGGACAGGAGTGAAATCCACTCCTGTGTCAGTCTCTAGGGGGAATCTCTCTTCATATAGAAGGAATCTTGCATCACTTTAACTATGTCTGTTTCCTGAATAAAGTCACTGTTGCCAAACATGGTGCTTTAACTTTTGTTTTCATAAAGATTCTCTGTGTTTGGGTGTGAATTACACTGAAAAAAGTAATGCAACAGTTTTTGGTATTTACTTAATCATATATAGTTACTTTAACACAATTCTTTCATGTTAGCAGGGTAGGACATAAAACAATTGTGTTAAAGTAACTAAATTTGATTAAGTAAATGCCAAAGGGGGTTGAATTCTTTTTTTCAGTGTAGAGACTGACACAGGAGTGGATTTTCACTCCTGTCCCCACAATGGGGAAATTTACTCTCTGCATCTAACCCATCCCTTTGGGGTGGGCGGCCATTGTGCGGCGCCCGGGGAGCAGTGTGGGGTTAAGGGTCTTGCTCAGGGACCCAGAGTGGCAGTCTGTGGGGGTCAGCCGGGTACTTGCAACCTTCTCAGAGCACAAGCACCCTGCTCTAACCCACAAAGCAACACTCCCCTGTCATTAGGCCAGTCATAGCAGTAGTGCTCACCCTGATTTTGCTGGGATATTTTTCCAGTTGACAGTCAGTTGATATTCTGCACTGTCGCCATATGCTTTTGCTAGATAGGAAACATCTTTGCTTTCACTGCTTCATCTTTCAGTCTAAATATGACTGGTTGGGTTGATTTTCATTTGGATATAATTAGATTTTAAATATGAACTCATTTGTCTAAAAAGCTTTAAAAAGCCTAAGGAACTATTGATTAAAACCCCTTTAAAGGATTAAAGCTGCTCCAGACGCCATAAATAACCCTGATAAAGTGTTCTGCTCTGTGTGGGTTAACTAGAACATAATTACAGAGCAGTCTGCGGTTCTATAACTGTTCAGTGAGTAATGGGGCCGGGGGCAGGGAGGGAGTCCTGGGGGTTCTAAGGTTCCCGGTTCCTCCCATCTCTGGGGTTCGGGTTTCACGCGGCTGTCAGTGTGAAGGAACACCCGGACCAACCGCATGTTTCCCGCATGTTCAGGCAGAAGAGACATGTTCCAGTGAGGAAACAACAGAAACAATCCAGTTTCTTTGTTTTATTCCATCCGGCACGCGACTCTCACCGGTACTACTGAGCGACCAATCACAGCGGTGCGCGCGCGCTGCTCCCGCTGCAGCTCGCGCTCAGCAGACAGAGCTTGATCCACAGAGGAGCAGGAATGAAGCAGCTTTTTAACTGGTTTTAATGGTTAAACTGGTTAGGTTAAACATTTTAAGGGGCTCCATTTAACCTGTTCCACCTCCACCAGCCGCTGTTTAATCCAGAGGATGCATAGAGCTGGATTAGACCCTGATATCCAGTAGAACAGAGAGAACTGGGATTATTTAGGGGAAAATCTCCCCGGGCTCTAAGAAAGGAGGATGCTGGTCCTGGTTCTACTGTCCTGGTTCTGGATGCTGATCCAGGGACATAGTTTGGACCATGACAGGTATGTTGGTATTTGTTATTGTCTTTATTCTGCTGGAGTTACTTCTATTTGTGGGTCATCATAACTATGTTAACTTACAAAATTATTTTAAACACGGTTTTATTATTCAAATAGTTATTAATTATAAAGTTATTTCTTCAGCGTCTGCATCAGCCTAACTATGAGTTGTTTCTCTATTGCATCTCTGCAGTTTTATAGCAGTTCATTTAAGTTTTTCTGAAATTTGAAATGTTCTATTTTTTTGAGTCTGTAATTTAAAACATAAAAAACATAAATAATGCAAAAATATTCGAATATATATGCAAGGTTACTAAAACTGAACATTGACCCAAAGGAGGAATTATTTTTCACTTTTTGCTGCAATAATAATAATTTGTTACAGATCCACTCAAACGAGTGAATGAGATTGAATAAAACTACAAATACTTCAGCGGTGGTACCAAGGTGCTACTTTATTGTATCTATCCATCGGTTGTGCTGTTCTTTTTACATCTCTATGCAGGTGATGAAGCCGACTGAAGATGTTTTGTCTTTATCTGGCTTTTATCTCCTCTTTCTTTCATCTTTTCTCCTTTTTCCTGTTCTACTTACATTGCAGTGTCCATAACATCTGTAATACTCCCTGTATTAATTATAATAAAGCAATTTACATGCATAAATCAAGCAGAACACTATAGCGATAGCCATACTGCTCACTTGTGAAAGTAAAATCTGTTGGGCTCTTTTTGGCATCAAGACAATTATTCTTATTGCCAGACAGGACACTGTTAAAAAAACAAAAGAACAACTGAATGGTTATGAATTTTATTTTATTATGATTATTTTAAAATCTTCTTTTCCAAAAAAGCTCAAACTTTAAGTCTTATTAGAGGGAGATCAGCTGTAAACATTGGTTTTAAATTCCTCAACAGATTCATAGTCTGGACTTAATTAAGTTAATCTGACAGGTGGATTCCCACAGCATAATACTGCCGCCGCCATGTTTCATTAAACAGCAGTGTTTTCGTCCCATTAGCTGTTTGCCATATGTTGAACAAAAGGTTCAGTCTTCAGCTTATTTCACCAGACCACCTTCCTCCCCACGGTTCATGGCGAACTACAAATGGCCCTTTTCCCTCAGCTTTCCTTCAGCTGTGGTTTTCTTTCCTGCCTCTCCTGCATAATGGTGGACAGACTCTCCCAGCTGAGCTATAGATCTCTGCAGCTCTGCAGGGTTCTTTACTGTTTCCTTACAGTTTACATCTGCACCACACATTTCAGATATGGATTGTGGAACAAAAAACACAACCTTGCATCATTTATTAAGAAAAATCAGTATGTTGCATAGATTTTGTTGGTTGATTAATAAAAAAAAACAAAAACGTTGAAATATTTTGTATTCTTTGTGTTTTTACTGATTGATAATGTGAAAAAGCTTTGTCAGTGCTGATTTCCAAACAGAAGAGAGGAAAACAAAACAATTTGGGGCTAAGAGGTTGAGGAATTGCTGAAGTGTGACAGAGGGATGGAAAGTATGCAGAGGGAGTGTAAACCGAGGGCGACGCCACCCTCCCTCCCCTCGTCTCCGGCTCCTATCATTCATGTTGGGACAGGCTGGAGGAAACAGGAGATGTCAGGATGCTCCTCTGCCGGTCTGGACTAGCAGAGCTGACATTAACCAAACACTGAGCAGGACGGGACAGCTCTGCAGGCCAGAAACCCAGGAATCACTGCTCACCCTGCAGATATTCCTCCATGTTGGTCCCACACAGGAAATGAACGACTCTCTGCTTGTTTGTTTGTGTTTTAATAATCCAGCTGCAGCAGAAGAAGAAAAGACGGCCCCTAACAGGAAACACAAACATGCTCATTATTAGTTGTGTCTCTGTGTTTGCAGCTGGACCAACCGGGCGGTGTTGTCTGACGGTCTTTGTCGCTATGGGAACAGCGTGGAGTGCTGCTGGGGCTGGAGACGGACGGACTGGGGACGGTGTCAACGTGAGGCCATGATGACACTCTGATTTCAGGAATTATGATCATTTCCTGGGTTTTTATGATCCTCATTTAATCTCCCAATATAACAGCATAATATGAGACTGAGAGGATTTACGAGCCGGGTTAAAAGCTCGGATACGCCCTCTAAATTCTTTATGTCTCTGTTCTAAGCAGCCGGATTTTCTTCTGACGCTTTAAAGTGTTTTTGATCATCAGTTCTACAGAATTTCTGTAGGTTTTTCATGTTATTTTCTTCAAACTTTGGCTGCTTTTTGGCTCTGATTCAGTCCAGTAAATCAGAAACTGAATTAGATTATTAGTAATTAAGGTAGTTAATTGTTTATACAGTCATTTCCATTAAGTCTTGCATGATATTGCTAAAATAAATCAAATAAACATGTTGTATGAGCTCTTAAACTCAAGTTTCTGTTAAGATTGAAATGAAAACAGGCAGGGTCCGATGTTTGGTTTACTAACTGGAGTCCATTGACCCCGTAGCAGCCTGCAGACTGATCAGAGGTCACATAAGGTGGTAGAAGGTTAATTTTAAATGCAAGTCAGAAATAAACCACAGAACAGGGAGTCAGTGCTCCGATAAACAATCACATGATGAGGTTTGGGTTAAATAAAGAGCTGTAGCAGAGGGGATCCTAACCCTAATGCAGGAATGGCCCAAAGTCGGCCCTCGGGGGCTGCTGGCCTAGCCTCGTGAGACCATCCTGATCTCGCAAGCTTTCAAGATTTCACTCACTAATCAGTCTGCAGACTCTCCGTTAAAGAAAATTTGGAGCCGTTCACCAAACGAAAGTCCAATCAGCGTTGGCTTTGAGGCGGGTTGAGGTGTGACGCAACAAGAAGCGCGACAGTTCAGTCTAAAGAACATGGCGGCTTCAGCCGATGAAACTAGCGTTAGCGTGGCTATCGAGCAAGTTTTATCAGAATTACAGAGTATTTCTTCACTGAAAGAAGAGCAAAACACTGCTCTGGAGGCTTTTCTCAGAGGAAAAGATGTTTTTGCTCTTCTCCCGACTGGTTTTGCCAAGAGTTTGATCTATCAATTGGCTCCTCTTCGTCGTCGCTCTGTTAGTACGTCATATGCTTCATTGATCTGATTGGTTTATTTGGCCCGTCTATCACCAACATAGGCCAATCAGCTAACCAGTATTTTCGCCCCTTCCCAAAATTACTTCAACGGAAGGTTTCCAGATGGATATGCGGAGCAAATCCATCTGGCGGAGTCAGGTTACTGCTGGCCTGCAGATTTTGGAGGTTTCCCAGCTTCAGCACAGCAGTTTCCATTGATAGATGATAATCCGTGTATGGTTCGTTCTTTGGTTTTTTCGTTTCAAAACAAAAACAAAACAAGCATGTGGTTTTTCCGTTTTTAAAACCTAAATCGAAAAAATGAAAAATCGCATTAATAGAAAATAAACAGCGTTTGAGTTTTGTCTGCCATCTAAATGAAAATTTAGATGAACAGTTTTGAAAACTTCGGTTTTCATTCTTTTCCTGCTTTGTGTGTAAACTTTCACGGTTGCTATGCAACAGAGCATACAGCGGTAAAACCCGCTGAAGGGTGGACCTGTTCGAATTCACAGCTAAAACACTTCTGGTCTCCTTATTTTCACGGACTTGGAAGGATCCAGTCTAGGTAGACCGCGTCCTTGGAGGATGCAGCCCAGGATTTCGAACAGAGCCAAACGTTTCCATTTTGGTAGTGCTAACTGAAAAAGTTCTTCTTCTTGTGGATTGTAATGGCGGTTGGCAAGAAATTTAAGGCGTACATTACCGCCACCTACTGGTAACTTAAAATATTTTGTGTTGGGAGTTCAGGTCTTCATTTCCGGTTCTGCCATAAGGTCCGTTGAATTAACAACAAAATAAAAGTTTGTCTTTGGTTTAACTATTGCAGTTAAAAAAAATCCCAAAACGTACCCTTTTGTACTGTTTTTCATTTTTGCAAATGCTGTTTTTTTAAATTTCGTTTAAAAACGGAAAAACAAAAAAACCACATGCTTGTTTTGTTTTTTCGTTTTTGTTTTAAAACGAAAAAAACCTAAGAACGAACCGTACACGATGATTAACAGGATTTTTCTAAACTGCAATCATCAGAATCAGCCATGCTGAAGCAGAGAAACCTCTGAAACCTGCAGGACAGCGCCCCCCGAGGGCCGACACTAGGTTAGCCTGCTATAAACATAATAACTCTGGGAGCTGATCAAAGATTTAGTGGCCCTACTTATTTGAACCTTTAAAAAGAAGCCTGAAAGGCTCAAATTTTTCTTTTTTATTATTGAATAAAGAATAAAGTGGGATTAACCCCAGATTATTCTTCTCTGACTCTTTAAAAGAGGTCCTCAAAGTACCTCTGTATACTGCGCCCTCAACATATCTCAACAAGTCCTTCACAAGTCTTTGGAAGTCAAGATGCACCAATCTATGGGCCACTATAATCCAGGATTCCCTCTAATTGGTGATTAACAGATCTAATCTTGACAAATCTGATCTTTTTTTTTCCTGTTCACATAAATGCAGCACATCTGAAATCTCCCACTTTCCATTGGTCTTTAAACCTATCAGCAGACACCCTTGTCTTTGCCGCACCTTTTCATGTAACAGATAGAGGTTAAGGACGAACACGCTGATGCATTGATGGGGGATTATCTTGTAATCCCTTCATTTTTCTGTTGGAATCCAAGCGTTGAGCCTCACTCTAGAAAGCTGCAGCTCATTTTACCTTTTATAGTCAAACAATGTAACATTTAACAGTGGAATAAAAACTGTGCGTGGGTGTTTTTCACACCTCCACTCTTAAAACCGGTAGGAAAAACAACAGGATTAAGTCATCTCTATGTCAGTACGCATGATGTAAGCACCAAATGTATGTTTCTGGGTCAGTTGGACCACAGTGGTCGACACATAGTGCTCTGGTTTGTTTAAAGTGCTTTAAAAGAACAGGAAACACCTTAAAGAAAGAAGAATATTAATCCTTACCAGTTTTATCATTGTGTTGGTCATAATGAAGAATTGTTATTCTGGAAGTAAAGAAAAAATAATCTCAGTCAGTGAAACAAACTAGTTGCTACTTCTTTTCTTTCATCTGGCTGTTTTCTTTCTGCTGTTAGGCTCAGCATTACAGATAACAAAGAAAAGAAAACTTTGAGAGGCTGGTCCTCTCTATTTAATAAAATAAAACAATCTTAGGTTTAATCTTTGACAGATATATAAAGGTTGGTTAAAATGATCACATTCCTTTACCCATAGGTAAATCTGAGTGTCATCAGCATAATGTTTACCTTTTTGAAGCTAAAGCTCTGCGGGATCCTGATTATTAAACAGTATTAATTTACTTGGGTTAGGAATTAAATTCAGTTTATTTCTATAGCTCCAATCCACAACACATGTCATCTCAAGGCACTTTCCAGTTCACCAGATCATCCAGTCAGATTGATTCAAAGTTTTCTATCTAACGAAAACCAGTTGATTGCATCAATTCATTGATTCGAAGACAATCCCTCACATTAAGCATGCTTGTAGCGACAGTGGAGAGGAAAAACTCCCTTTTAACAGGAAGAAACCTCCAGCAGAACCAGGCTCAGTGTGAGCGGCCATCTGCTGAGGCCGACTGGGGTAATGAGAAGAAGGCACAGTTTGACTCTCAGAGAGTTTCACCTGCAAACAGGTGATTCCCAAAGAGATGCTAGCTAAACTCTTCTCATTGGACGATCAGCTGAACTACAATACATCTGTTCAGTTAAAGATTATCTGCTTGGATCTTAATTTCCTTATTGAAAATAACACTTTGTCATGTTCCAAAATGAAAACTGCAATTATAACATCTATGAAAATCAACCCACATCATTCCGAATATTGTCTGGGTCTCATATAGCTAGTTCCTATCCATCTTGTTAGCCAATTAGGAAAGTTAAGGCTCACTTTAATCCTGCTTATTTGTACTTAAGGTGGACTTAATACAGATCAGGGCTGGGCAATATGGCTTAAAATGAACTCTATGAGTTTTCATCCCAAAACTGATTCATTGATTTCATTTCAGTGTTATGATAAATGACAAAAAAATTAATAAAGTTGATTATTATCAAGTCCTAACACAGGAATCCACATCAAACTCGGCTTCTATAACAGCGTCCTCGGAGTCAAACAGTGAAATATTGGGCGGAAATATTCTGCTTGGCAGGAAATGGTCTCAATATAAATATTTTTTTTTTATATTGCAAAAGAATATTCAACAACAAAGGGTTTTACAGAACAGAACCATTATTTTTTTGTCACTCAAATGTTTTTTTGCTTTTGCATAAGAGAAAAGGAACAAGGGTGTCAGTGATATATATCTTAGGTAAGAGCAGTTCGGCAATGGTGAATAGACTCAGTCTCCCATGGTGGCTCTGCTGTAGGGTCGATATGTTGTCCATTTGTCCCATTTGGTATCAAACTCGACTTGTAAAGTTTTTTTTTTTAAATGTAACATTAAGCTAAGTGATGCAGGAAGTTACTATACACTATAAAATCTCAAATGTCCCTTTTATCGACACTGTTCAGCGCGTCCATACACAAAAACATGGCATCCTACCAACTATTACATTAAGCCCTATCCGCCTGTTAAGATCCCAGGTTTTACCTGCTGTAATGTGCAGCTCTGGCTCTTAGTTTCAGCTCTGTTCATTTGCTCTGATAAACAGTGAACTTGCCAAAATCAGAAAAAGCGCTTTATGTTCCAGTTAGACCACCTGCAGAGATTAGGAGGTCTTCTTGCTGTGCGGTAGACAAACGCGCCGAGACGAGGGAGACCGCCTGTCAACACAAACCCATACAAACCGCATGTTGTCTGACGGATTATTTATGTGAAACCGGCAGCTGCTTGGAAACGCGTCCTGAGCCTGAAGGATCTGTTTGGGTTTTACTGTTAATGAGCTAAAACGTGTCGAACATGAACGGCTTCCAGGAGGATTAGATGCTGCTCTGAAAGCTGATCCTGAGTCAGTCGCTTTTACATGTTCATACACGATGAACCCCTCACTTTTTTTACATTAACCCCCCCCCCCCCCCCCCCCCCCCCCTCTCTGTGTGTGTAGCTGACTGTACGCAGGGCTGTAAACACGGAGACTGCGTTGGACCGGACAGATGCAAATGTCGCCCTGGATACACCGGCAAAGCCTGTAACCAAGGTAACCTAGAGTTTCCATGTAGATGTGAAGAACTGGGTGCTACTCTGGACATCTGGATCCAGAAGATCTTTATGTGGGTCTCAAGGAGAGAGCATTCTTGCTGTGTTTTCATATTATAAGAGTCGACAGACGCATTCTTGTGATGCTTGGTTGACCTTTGAGGGCGTGTCTTACCTGAACCCCTCAAAAAGAAAAAAACGCACAGAGACATAAACGCCTCTCTAATCTAAGATCAGCTCCAGCTCACTCACTCCACCCACTGATACACACCAAACCCACAGCATCACTGATTAGAGGCTTCATTCTGACTCATATCCTGACTTTGAACAGCAACTGGCCGCTACCTCACACCCTGGCAGGGTGTAACGTAACACCCATGTTTGGGAGGGCGCTCAGGGACACGATGCAGTCACTGGTTTAACCATCTGAGGACCCTGGTTAAAACACCAAGCATCCTCTGAACACTCAATGTGTCTCTCTTTATACAAACTGCTCTTATTTTTGTCTCTTTTTGAGTCTCTGAGGACCTTAAGGTCCCCACAGGAATAGTAATACATGCAGACACACACTGAAAGCTCTCCTGCTCAATAAGTGGCCTGGAGGTCAGAGGTTAATCCAACAAACCGACGTCAGGAATGAAAAGAGAAGATGAGGAGCTCTCGGGTTAATGTTTGACCTTTGACCCCCTTCCTCTGCTTATGTGTGCGTTTCAGACCTGAACGAGTGCGGCGTGAAGCCTCGGCCCTGCAAGCACCGCTGCATGAACACGCCGGGCAGCTACAAGTGTTACTGTCTGGACGGATACGCTCTGCAGCCCGACGGCAGCTGCAGGAGTCAGAAACTCTTCCCTCTCTTCTTGTTTGCAGATTATTTTCCACATACCTGATTCCCACATATCTGATTTAAGATCTTCTCCTCCAGATGTCAGAACCTGTTACCATGCCAACTGTCAGTACGGCTGTGAGGTGATGAAAGGCGAGGTGCGGTGTACCTGTCCGTCTCCGGGGTTACGGCTGGGCCCAGACAGACGCTCCTGTGTCGGTCAGTCTCTGGTCCTGAGCTCAGTAAACCTTTCTGTTGTTGTTTCATCATGGCTGACTTCGCCTCTCTGCAGATATTGACGAATGTTCTCAGGGAGGTGGAGTGTGTCCCCGTCGCAGGAAGTGCTACAACACGTTCGGGAGCTTCTTCTGTAAATGTCACCTGGGCTTCAAGCTGATGTACATCAACGGGCGCTACGCCTGCGTCGGTGAGGCTGCATGGCTGGGTTACAGTAACGGGTGGGATCCAGATTATATTTGGACTTTATTCTGAAGGACTTTCATCTAAGTGTTGGTGAAGTCATCCAGGTCATAGTCTTTCCAAAAAAGTTTAAATAAGTAAAAAAAAAAAAACCACTGGACTTTATTTTCCAAGTTTGAAGATGTTTTGCTTGTCATCCAGAAAAAGCTTCCTGGATGGGAAGCGAAGCATCTTCAAACTTGGAAAACAAAGTCCAGTGGATTGTCTTTTCACTTTTTTTTTTTACTTTTTTGTAATGACTGTCCTCTAAAAGTAGAAATACCTCTAAATTTTTTAACATTTGATCAGACTACAGCTGCAAATTGAATAAATTTCATTTAGATCTGAAGGGACATAGGAGCACAAAGCAGTGATAGCAACACATCATTTTCAAATTAAACTCAGTAGATCCAACTGTCCTCAGCAATCACTTTCATGGTAATAAGAATTCTTCTCTCTGTTACTTATTCTGAGTCCAAACTCAAATGTTCTGTTTCTGGCCCCAGATGTTTGACCAGGAACATTAGAGAAGACAAAGAAAAACAGCAGGCAGCTATCCTTAAACACCTTCCTTACCATTAAAACATGGTGGTGCTGGCATCATGCTGTGGGAAGGCTTGGAAAACCTGGTAGAAGTAGAAAGCCTTAGACAGGGGTAAAGGTTCTCCTTCCAGCAGGACAAATGGCCCAAAATCAGGCAGAGATATGATGGTTTATATTTAACTAGTGTTAGAATGGCCTAGTCAAAGGCCAGACCCAAGTCCAACTGAAAGGGTTTGGTTAGAAGCCTCAGCAGATGGCTGCTCACACTGAGCCTGGTTCTCCTGGAGGTTTCTTCCTGTTAAAAGGGAGATTTTCCTCTCCACTGTCGCTAGAACCAGGCTTAGTGTGAGGAATTGCCTTCGAGTCAAAGAGTCAGTGCAATCAACTGGTTTTCCTTAGATGGAAAACTTTGAATCAGTTTCACAGTGTCACCTGGCTGAATTGTATCTTTAAAGTGTCTTGAGATGAAATGTGTTGCGAATTGGAGCTATATAAAAAAACTGAATTGAATTGAAGACTTTTAATTTGACACTCTCTCGTTCGACCGAGCCTGAGGTTTTTTACAAAGAAAATTTTCAGATTGTAGATCCAGAGCAGGTAGATTCTAACCCAACATACCTGCAGCTCTAAACAATCTGGTCAGTGAGATGAACACAGAATCTTAAATTTGTCCTCACTTCCTGTTGGTCTGTCAGATAAAACCCAACAAATGAAATTAAACTTTAGGAGTGTGAATAGGTCGCAAAAAACGTTAGCATGGTGTCGCAGACGCTTTTGAAAGCAGCTCGTCTTTGACCGTCAGGTTCAGCCTATTGTCCCGGGACGACATCATGTGGGCTGTTTTCTGCCTTGTTTACATTCCAGCGGTCCTTCTGTTGGCCTGATGGTTAAACAAACTGCAGCTTGTGCTGAAATCCATCACAGGGCGCAGAGAATCAGAGCTGCTGGTGTACAGCTTAGCAATAATACCTTCGTTTTATTAGGAGATCAGCGGAGCCGTCACAATAGAGCTCATTAATGTTAAAGCTTTATGTAAAATATATATTAAATATTTTAAGGAAATATTCGCTTTACAGAAGATGATCTATTTTCCTCTGAATCTAAACTGTTGCCTCATGGATAACTTTTCTAATAAGGAACAAATAAAAGCTCCATCTCAATCTTAATCTGCTAATTTCATCTATTTTTACTGTATCTGTCAGTGACATAAAGTAATTACGGTAATGTAAAAGAGGAAAGTACACCCTCTGAAGATCTACTGTAGAAAGGATCTGGTATTTTTCTATGTTATAATTTTATTAACAATAATAATCAATTGAATCAGGATTTAAATGCTAATGAATAATTAAGCACAGCTTAAAACATCTAGATATCGACAAAGTAGCAAAGCTCTACAAACTACAGTTTATAGCTTACTAGGGTGAGCTTTCTGTTTAGCAGAGGTCTAAGATAGATTTTGACAGGGTTGAAAATAAATAATTGAACTTTATTGATCTCACATTGGAGAAATTCACTCTCTGCATTTAACTCATCCCAATGGGGAGCAGTGGGCTGTCATTATGCGGCGCCCAGGGAGCAGTGTGGGGTTAAGGGTCTTGCTCAGGGACTCAGAGTGGAGGCTGTGGGGATCGAACCGGGTACTTTCAACCTTCTCAGAGCTTCTAACATTTAAAATCAATGTTTTCAAGGATTTTATTTTAGATTTTTCAGGTGACTTTAAAGCATAAAAAAACAAAAAAAAACAAAAGCAGATATTTAGTTTGAAGTCCTTGTTTCTTGCAGACGTTAAATAGAAGCTGACTTTCTGTTTCTGTGTCACATAGATCTATCAGCTGATTGATTCCCTCTGAAGTCCAAATTTTGATCCCATTTATTTTATTTCAGAAGGAAAAACAAATTAGGATTGAAAACCTGTTAACAACAGTTAGAAAAACAATGATTAGATAGGATTAAATGAGCTTTTAGTTAATCATACTCGTCTTCCTCTTCTTCCGGGACCGGGTCGCAGGGGCAGCATTCTCAGCAGGGACTTCCAGACTTCCCTTTTCCCAGACACCTCCTCCAGCTCTGCTGGGGGAAGCCTGAGGTGTTACCGGGTCATCTGAGAGATATAGTGCCTCCAGCATGTCCTAGTGGGACATCCTCTCCTGGTGGGACTAGTCTGAAAAAACCTCCCTTGGGAGGTGTTCAGGGGGCATCTGAAAAAGATGTCTAAGCCTCCTCAGCTGAATCTGGATGTGGAGGAAGTGCAGCTCTACTCCAAGTCTCTCCTTAAGCTCCTCCCCCTCCCTCTAAGGTAGACCCAGCCACCCTGCAGAGAAAGACCATTTCAGCTACTTGTATCCAGGATCTCATTCTTTCAGGGATCCAGATTAATGCCCATAGCTGAGGGTAAGAACGTAGTCTGACCGGTAAATTTAGAGCTTTGCCTTTTCTCTCAGCTCTCTCTTCACCACAACAAACCAGTGCCACATCTGCATTATAGCATCAGCCACACCGATCTATCGATCTCCTGCTCTATTCTCCCCTCATTAATGAACAGGAGCCCAAAATACTTGAACTCCTCCACTTGAAGCAGGAACTCTCCTCCAACCTGCAGGGTACCCACCACCTCTTCCCAGTTGCGTACCATGGCCTCTGACTTGGAGTAGCTGATTCTTATCCTTTCCAGGTCTGACTTGTCTGTGAACAGCCCTGGTAAATCCTGTAGGTCTTGACAGGAGGGACCCATCAGGACCATATAATCTGTGAAAAGCAAGGATGAGATCTTATCTTTTCGGGGAAGACACAGACAGGATTTCCTCTCTGGCCCTTGGCCACTAAATAATTAACAATGATCTAAAAAAGCAGCTTTTAAATAGTAATCTACCTGAAACCTCCACCATATTCTTCCCTGTAGAGTATTTGATTTGTGATCACATGGTTATGATGATGATATAGAGTAACCTGGTCAGTGATTGTTTCTCTTTTTCTAACCAGATAAGGACACTCGACCTTTCTGCTCCCTGAATCCTTCCTCACCTAAGTGCAAATGTAAAGATGGAAGATGCAAAGGTAACAACACCTCATCACAAACACCAGCTCTACTCACCTATAAGGGACTGTCCTACTGTCTGTCTGTCTCTCTGTCTGTCGGTCTTTCTGTCTGTCTGTCTCTCTCTCTGTCTGTCTGTCTGTCAGTCACACAAGCACTACATAGAATTTACATATATGTTGGCATATGGATGAGGATCTGAAGAATATCACATAGTCAGATGAAACCAAAACTGAACTTTTTTACATAAACTCATGATGTTTGATGAAAGAAAAGCCGAGTTGCATCTTAAGCGCACCATACTGTGAAGCATGGAGGTGGAAATCTCATGCTTTGGTGCTTTTTTATTTTGTAAAAGGGGCTTAGACAACTAATTGGTTTAAAGGAAGAATGAAGGGGCAATGTATGTTGAGAATGAAGTTGGCTGAGTTTTCTCAGGGGTCTGCTTCTGTCTCCTTGAACCCCAGTCGGCCTCAGCAGATTGCCGCTAACACTGAGCCTGGTTCTGCTGGAGGTTTCTTCCTGTTAAAAGGGAGTGTTTCCTCTCCACTGTCGCTACAAGCATGCTTATTGCCTTCGAGTCAATGAGTCGATGCAATCAGCTGCTTTTCCTTAGATGAAATAACTTTGTACCAACCTTCTGCTTGAATTGTTGCTGTAAAGTGCCTTGATATGACATGCATTTTGAATTGGCGCTATATTGATAAATCTAAATTGAATTGAATCCATTATGATAATGACCCCACAGGCAATGAAGGGCTGGTTCTCTTAAACGCATTTCAAAATCCTGGAATCGGCTTGCCAGTCTCCAGACATTAACCCAATAGATACGTTCAGTATTGAGTTTAAAGACCATTTTGTCAGTGACAGCTTAAAAAAACAGCACACCTTTAGAGGAGATGGGCCAAAATACCAGCTACAGTGTGTGCAAACCGGTAAAAACTTACAGGAAACAGTCATTGTCAACAAAGTTATAATACAAAGGATTGAGTTGAACTCCTGTGAGTGACCACTATATGTACTTTCCACCAATATTTACAAATGATACAAATGATTTATTTTCCCATTTTGTCTCTCATAGTTGAATTGAACATATAATAAAAATTAGAGTTCTATCTTATCTTTCTAAGTAGAAGAACTGGCCCAATTTGTGGTTTACATTAGGCAGCATGGGTGGGGTCCTGATCAGAACCAAATCATTGTTCTCAATAATGTTTTTATGGAAACAACCGCGGTGACATAAAAATAAAGATGTAAACAAAACACTCCAGCCATCATCAATCAGAGTTAATCTGAATTATCATTTGGAATATTTATTTCCACAGATAACAAATGAACACAGAAGCAATAATCCCTACTAACATATTTGATTTTCTTTTCTAGGGCTCCTCACCGTAATGCTAGAGCCACACAGACCCCAGACTACAACCCTCATCACTACCACTGCCACAACATCCACGATTCCTGCCATCACTACAACCACAGCTACAACCACTGCAACTATACCTACAACCACAACTATACCTACAACCACATCTATACCTACAACCACATTAACTATACCTACAACCACAATTATACCTACAACCACATTGACTATACCTACAACCACAACTATACCTACAACCACCACAACTATACCTACAACCACCACAACTATACCTACAACCACAACTATTCCTACAACCACATCAACTATACCTACAACCACAACTATTCCTACAACCACATCAACTATACCTACAACCACTCCTACAACCACTCCTACAACCATACCTACTACTACGCTTACAACCACTACCACCATACCTACAACCACCGCCACTCCTACTGCTACTTCTACCACTGTCTCATCTACAGCTTATCAAACAACCACTTCTTTGTCATCCACTGCCATTGCAACAACCTCTCTAGCTCCCACTACTGTTGCTATGACAACTACATCCCGAACAACACCCCCTGAAACAACTATCCCTACAACCACAAGAACAGAAACACCAGCTGTTACCACACCTGCTCCAACTACTGCAACCTCTGCTGCGCCTACTACTGAGCCTACGGTTGCCATAGTGACTACGCCGCCGCCCACCACCTCCTTGGTGACAACGACGTTGAACAACAGGATCAACAAGGATGTAACGCAGAGACAGAGAGGAGACGTTCACAGTGAGGACAAGCTCAAGGAGTTTATAGAATGATGAGAAAATGTTTTAGCAGTTGGCTAATTTCTGGTTTCTATTTTCACAGTAAAGGATTAACAACTTATTTAAATATCAAATATGGTCAAAGCTAGTTGTAAATTTTGTATAGATATCTAACGGTTGGTAATTAAGTGAGTTTTCGTAGATGGTCATCACCGGTTAATAAATGTTGGGTTTATGCTTATGCTTCAGTACCTCGGCATCCGGGGCACAACCAGGTCTGGGAGTTTGACATTGAGCTGGGAAACACAGCCGAGGACGCTCGCGATGATCCTGGTAGGTGCTCCTTTTTTAACTAAAGCTCTGTTTCTCAAGGGAAACCAGGGAGTTAGTGGTTGAGGGTTGGGCAGACTGAACCAAATGTTTAATAAAATAAAACAAATTTTAGGTTAGGAAATCTCTCACCTTCCAGCTGTAACTTCATTAATCTCCAGTCATTGCTGTGCAGCAGATTCAGCAGTAGGGGGCGCAACTAAAACAGGTTTAACATACTGTGTAAACATATGAGGAAGAGTTAATTTTTTGTCACAATTACACAGACTGTGAGGTCAGAATGAGCTTTGTGAGCTGCAATGTCAACTATATGGTGGAACTGAGTCTGAACTAGGGATTAAATGGTTTATGAAAACCGTCCGAACCGTTCGGTTCGACTGTCTCGGTTCGATTCGCGTGTGTTGCGTTCGGTTCATGCGCTGCTCCTTTTTCTCATAGGCGAAGCGTTTACACTCCAGAGCAGAAGGTGGCGGTACTGTGACCAAAGCCAACCACAAGTAGTAAACAAGAAGAAGAAGCGAAGCAGCGTAGCCGGGTGTAGCAGGGAAAAAAATCAGTTGTTTTGGAGAATTGTGTGGGTATGGCGAGTGGGAAAGAACAGGAGTTGGAAGACGCGCCAGCAGCACTTTATAGGTCTGCTGTATGGGACCACTTTGCATTTAGAGTGACCTACGATGACGACGGAAAGAAAGTTGTGGATAAAAGTGCAACAGTGTGCAAGCATTGTGCAACACATGTTATACTATACAAGACATAATAGATTTTCCTTAACAATCAACATATACCGAACCAAACCGAAAACTGTGACCACGAAACTGTGAACCGAAGTGAACCGTGGATTTTGTGAACCGTTCCACCCCTAGTAAGGAGTCAAACCAAGCAAGGAAAGCTCTACATGAAATGCCTGAAATTTGTGTATGTCACTTTCCACACAAATATTGTGACCTTTGAAAAACAAAATTGGTGCAAAAGCAGTCCCTTATGTCAACTCTGACCAATTATTAACTCTGTTTGAAGCCAACTTTAGGAAAAAAGCAATCCGAACAATTTATCATGGGTCTGAGATATCATAGTCAGCGCAAAGCACATCTCTGTCTGCTATCTTATATGGTGGAGTTAATATAACACACGTATTTCTGCCTTTGTTAAACGTTGCTTTTTTGCTTTGCATTAACTATCTATCTAGTTAAATGGTGGTGCTCAAAAGGGCCAAGTATGAGTTGGAGCCTTCTATGTAAACTTTGAGGTACAATTGTGATCTACGAAGAAAATTTGCTTGGTGTTGTCTGTACCGTCATTTTTTTGTGGGGTACACCATTTTTGGATGTTATTTGTATTTATATTTTCACTGTGGATCTTATGTAACTTTTTAGAAATTAGTCCCCTGTTCTCCTCCAGGAACTAGAGACAAAAAGGAACAAATGGGCTAAAATACGAATGTTTTTGATTTTCTGTAGATGTTGGTGAGCTCCACTGCAGCTTTGATCATGGACTCTGTGACTGGATCTCGGACAGAGAGGGAGACCTGCACTGGGAAACTGTGGGTAGTTCTGCAGGTAATAACACCATGGTGCCAACAGAACCCCCCCCCCCCCCCCCCAGAAAGCATTAAAGTCTCTTTAAACTTTAAACTCAGTCTGATTATGTTTAATATCCTAGGTGGGCGGTACCTGTCTGTCGCTGACCTAAAGCCTGGGCAAAGGAGCATCCGAGGAGCTCGACTGGCCACCCAGATACTCCCTCTGTGGAACCAGGGGGACATGTGTTTCTCCTTCTCCCATTGGCTGACGGGGCATCATCTCGGCGTGCTGCAGCTCTTTATCCGCAAAAAAGGAGCAGACCAAAGGTACCACAGCTATAACCTATAACAAATGTGATGCCTCTGAAGTTTGCTCCATGAAAGCTAGCTTCTGATTGGCTCTTCCAGGTATGGCGCCGCCGTTTGGAGCAGGACAGGTAGACACGGGTGGAGACAGACGCAGGTCACCTTAGAGGCGCATTCTGTGGATAAAGTAAGTTATGATGATTGTGATGTAAAGATGATAAAGCTGGTGATGAAGATCGTGATGATGACAGAAATTATAATAATGATGAAAATTATATTTATAAAAATGATCATGGTAATAATTTTAATGGTGATGATTATCATTTAGATAATTCTAATGATGTTAAAGAAAATACATATTATTTTGGGTACTGATGATAAAAATGATGATGAAGATCATGATAATAATGATGATTATTATGATAGGAAAGATAATAATTTAATAGTAATTCTGCTGATACAGATTAGGACGGATATGGTCATTTTTGGTGGAGATGTAATGATGATGATTCAGGTGATCATTATGATTAAGATAATTGTGATAAATCTACTAAAAATGATTCTACAGTAATGGTGATTTAACATGGCAACAATGATGATGATGATAATGATTGTGATGTCAACAATGATGGATAGAAAACAAGAAAAATTAGATAATTGAGCTTAAGGTGATGATGATGATCATGATGATTATGATGATGATGATGACACAAACGAAGAGGATAATGATTTGATGTCCACATGATGGGGAGAAATGATTATAGTAATGATGATGATTCTCATTTTGATGACTGATGATGGTGGAGACTAAACTGACTCCGCCAGATGGATTTGCTCCGCATATCCATCTGGAAACCTTCCGTTGAAGTAATTTTGGGAAGGGGAGAAAATACTGGTTAGCTGATTGGCCTATGTTGGTGATAGACGGGCCAAATAAACCAATCAGATCAACGAAGCATATGACGTACTAACAGAGCGACGACGAAGAGGAGCCAATTGATGGATCAAACTCTTGCCGAAACCAGTCGGGAGAAGAGCAAAAACATCTTTTCCTCTGAGAAAAGCCTCCAGAGCAGTGTTTTGCTCTTCTTTCAGTGAAGAAATACTCTGTAATTCCGATAAAGCTTGCTCGATAGCCACGCTAACGCTAGTTTTATCGGCTGAAGCCGCCACGTTCTTTAGACTGAAGTGTCGCGCTTCTCGTTGCGTCACACCTCAACCCGCCTCAAAGCCAACACTGATTGGACATTCGTTTGGTGAACGGCTCCAAATTTTCTTTAACGGAGAGTCTCCAGACTGATTAGTGAGTGAAATCTTGAAAGCTCGCGAGATCAGGATGGTCTCACGAGGCTAGGTGGAATGATGATAACTCTAATTATCAAAGATGCTATTAATTCTGATAATAATTATAACTCTGATGTTATGATGATGATGTGTGCAGGTGCTGTTAAAGGCCGAGCGAAGGAATGGACGACGAGGGCAGATCGCGGTTGATGATGTTACACTGAGACAAGGGGCGTGTCGATGACATCATAGGAGACCCCTCATTTAAAGGACCATTCTGATGAATTTAGCAGCTGCAGCTGAACTTCAGACTGCTGCTGGCTTCATGTAGATCTTCTGATATTTGGAACCAGGAACGTTTCCTCCCTTCCTCTGGTTTTCTCCAAGTCTCTGCCTTGAAATATGTTGGACTCATCTTGTGCCAACTGCCGTTTTGTTTGGTTTGTTTACTTCGTTAGAGCGTAAAAGCTGATTATTTCTCAACTCTTACCATGTTGCTGTTAAAACCAGAACGTTCTGCTCTGACTTTGGTGAATGAATTTTTCATCAGAACAAGCAACAAGACAGCAGATCTGAAAGGAAAGAAGGACACAACAATGAACACAAACAGCAACTGTTGGCCATCTGTTACCACGGTAACTAATGACTGAAACCTTACCTGCTAAGTAGGTAAGATTTACAGGTTAATTGAAGCACTTCTCTTCTAGTATCCTTTATCTGAGAGTAATCTTCATCAGCAAAACTGAAGCTTCCCTTAAAACAGACTAATCACAAACTGAACATATGTAATTTTCTTTAAAAAAACAAACAAAAAATACTACCAAACAATAAAAGATCTTTAGCATTAATCCATCAGATTCAAAGGCTCAGAGCTCCTGATATAAAACCATCTCTGTGTGTCTCAGCGGGGTTATTCATGTCCCGCAGAGCTCTCATTATGCACTGTTTATACTCACCAATAACTAATTTACATTGACTGTCATTATAAAGCTTGGATACATATAGAAGGGCAGAGCACATGTCGACTCATTGAACTTCACTAAAGAGTGAAAGCAATTGATTCACATGGGCCGATTCCAGATTGGTCGTTCCCAACGTGTTTCCAAATTGGTTGAATATTTTCCGTCTAAGGAAAACCAGCGGATTGCATCCAGTCATTGCCTTTATAGGATTCATTCCTTCTAGACTTAATTTGCATTGTGTTGTTGACTCTGCAGAAATCCCTCACACCGAGCATACACTAGGCAACAGTAGGGAGGAAAAATGACCTTTATCAGGAAGAAACCTCCATTAGATCAAACCAGATTATTATCCCTGTAAATTCATTGGATTAATAGGAGCTCATTGATGTTGATCTATTTCATCTGCAGATCTGAAAACAGTCCATATTGTGAAACCTTGTTATATATGGGAGCTGGTATAACATATTATTCTGTTTGATATGTAAATAGAAACTATTTGTTTTTTGGGACAATAAATCTGTTTATTTTAACTATTTTTCCTGAATAAATCTTTCCTTAAAGTGAGTTAAAATCTGTAAATATGACTAAATGTGGGGATTTAATTCATGTTTTACTTTCAATAGATTTATTTAATATCAGGAAGATTCAAAATAAAGGAATGTTTGTTGTTTAGAGTCACATTCTTCAAATCAACAAATTAATCTCATCGAATGCAGGAAATAAAAAAATGTATTCCTTAATAATTAGACTATTTCTTTAATTTATCTTGATACATTAATGTGGAATTCATAAAAAAATATTTTATTTGATCATATGTTCAAATATTTATGTATTTACTTTATAGTCTTTTGTCTACTTACTAATTAAAGTCAGTGGGTGGGCTAACAGACACAAGGTGATTTTTTTATTTTTATTTTTTATTCTTTTTATTTATTTATTTTTTAATTGTTATCTATATGTAAAAAAAGCTGATTGGTCTGTTTTATAATTGATACATTTTAATATTATTACAGTTTATTTAGTGATTATTTTAAATAGTCGCTGATAAAATAGAATGTAAAACATTTTAGAAAAGAGTTGAAATTATTTTTAAAGGTACAGTGTGTGATAATCACAGGTATTTACTGACATAAACGAATATATTATCTATATGTATGTTATTTATTATCACCTATGGATCTTTATGTTTGCCTTGCCTTAGAGGTTGCTATTTATAATTACAGGGAGTGTGTTTGCATTTATGGAGAGCTGACAGACTAGTCACTGTCCATGTTTGTTTTGGTTAGAGTGCTTAAAACAGGGATGAATCACCTGGACAACAGAGGTAAGGGGAGACGGCAGGTGGGGAATCAGTGTTCAATAGCTCCATAACTGGGACGGGTTGCCAGCGATGCTGCCCGCTGTTGCTAAGGAACCAGAGTGGCAGCTTGCTAGGAGAGGCCTGATAGCTGATGGCCCCAAAAGGATCCAGCTGGCCTGGGTTAACTAGAGGCTACCCATGGAGGATTGAGGAGGAATTGTGGAAGATCGGATTAGTCCGCCGGGTGGAGAGAGGTCTAAAAGCAGGGGAGATGGGCTGCAGTTTACCGTGAGGAGGAAGGCGTGACATCGAAGGAGCCTGGCGTGGCGACAGAGCAGGAAGAGACTAAGGCAGGCCAGGGCTAGCATCTTGAGGCTAACTGCTGGTGATGGACAGAAGAACGATGAGGATCAGAGGAGCCTGCGGGCGGAATGAGCGGCTTGTTGGGATGAGGACAGATCTGTCTCTGTGCTGGAGGTAGGTATACGAAACAGTCCTTCAAGTTCTAAGTTAACATGGCTTATTTAAAAGCCACTCACAAACCTCCTAACAGCATTGCCCACTATTTCCTCTGTCAGCATTATTTTCTCTCTATTTTGATTTAGAGCAGCTTGTCTCTGCAGCATCCTTCTCTAAAACAGCAGTAAATTCATGATACTTTCTCATCTACTAATCTGTAGATTTATCAATGTATTTGAGACAAAAGTATTGAAGAATTTATAGATTTTAATGTAAAAAAACACAATACAATTCTCTATATGACATCAATTTGACCATCTATGTTAATAAAATATTTTAAATTAATTTCTTATAATTGTAATTACTGATAATAACTAAAACTAAATAGTTTTGTAACCAACTTTAAACTTTTAGACAGACTTTATTGACTTTTTGTATACAAAGCAAAATTTCGTTCAGTACAGCTGTCTTGACATCTCTGTTTCTAAAGTGCAGCAGTGAAAAAATGTAAACATGTGGATCAAATGTAAACATAAGACTTGTATATGATTTACAGTTTTCCAATATTCAGTGCTTTTTTTTTCATGGTTTTATGACGGATATAAAAAAATGTTTTGTTCACATAGTTATTACAGGTTGAGAGCTTGTAATGCTGATGGTGGTCAGTGATGGAGCAGGAGGAGATGCTCCTCTACCTGCACCGCCCTCAGAAACAGGAGGGGGCGGGGACATCCCTCATGATTTATGTCCAAACATCTGCAGACCGAGAACCATCTGGACTGAGCTCCACAGATTCCTGATTTTATAGACCCCCAGCTCAGAGTGAGGAAGGCCAAACCTGTGATTTACAGTCAGAGCGGTATGTGTTGGAGTATTTGCTGAGGGAGGAGGTTCTCCACTTAAACTTTTAATTAACACAAGCAGGTTTCCACTCTCTCATGGATCATCTGAGGCCTCAGAGCCCTATAATATATAGAGAGGACGAGACTTTCTCACATGATACTTGATGTTTGAATCTGAGAATCATAAAATTCCAGGCAAACATGATAGCAGTAAAAAAATACAGGAGTGCCCCCTGCTGGGGGTATTTTGCTATGTACATTTGCTGTATTTTGCTATGTACATTACACCCACTGATGCAATAATGATGTTATCCTGAGGCAGAATCATCTCCAACAAGGACTGAGAGACAAAAACAATAAGCGCTAAATTATTTTCCTCTTTCATATAACTGTTCATCCACTACATGCCCTTAGCAAGATTTATCTCTAGATTTGCGTTATCTTTTATACAGATGATACACATCTTTATATTTAAACAGATCCTCGTCCATCTCCTGCCTCTTTACTCTAATGACAAAAACACGGTTCTATGCAGTATTCTGCCCTCATTCACTGCCCTAAAACATATCACCCTCTAAGGCTACGTTCACACCGCAGCCTAGAGTGACCCAAATCCGATTTTTTTTGCCCATATGTGACCTGGATCTGATCTTTTCATGACAGTCTTAACAACACAGATTCGATTTTTTCCAATGCGACCACTCGGCTATGTGTTCCTGAATCCGATGCGAATCTGATCTTTTCAAATGCGACCTGTATCTGAACGGCCAGGTCGCATTCATCCGCCCTGAATGTCATGAATACCTGACAAAGGTCACTATTCTGGGTCTTGCTACGCAGAAGCGGCAAGAAAAACAACAACAATGGTGGACGATAATGCGAAGAGTTATATTTATGTTTAACCATCTTGAAAAGATCGAGTTTTTAAGGTTGGGAAAGATTGCAAGATGCGCTCCAGCGCTACCATCCATGTTTACTACCGTAAACACAGAGCACGCTGGCTTGTGATGTCATTACATCCTCTACAGCGCATGCGGGACACTTATGTTGTATGAATGCAGTTCACACAGGAGATCACGTACAAGTCGCATATGTTTGGAAATGTGAACCGCAATGCAAAAAAATCCGGAAAAAAAAAAAATCGGAATTGAGCATCAAGGCCTGCAGTGTGAACGTAACCTAAATCTCATGATCTGCCCTTATGGCTCACTTTAATTGTTAATTTCACTCACCTGCCTAACTCTGCCTGGTTTTCTAATTATCACTCATCCACCTGCGTCTGATCTTTATATTTGTTTCAGCCCGAGCTAGCAGGGCCAAATCATTGTTTGTTTGCTATCGGTCGGTCTTTTTATGCCTGTTCGTTTTATGCCGTTCGTTTGGTGAACGGCTCCAAATTTTCTTTAACGGAAAGTAGCCAGACTGATCTGCGAGTGAAACCTTGAAAGCTTGCGAGATCAGGATGGTCTCACGAGGCTAGTGAATTGGCGCTTTAGAAATAAACAGAATTGCAAAGTTTAACAGCTGTTGGAATGAGAAGTATCCCCCTTGGATGTGGATGTCAGGTATCCTCCTATTGCACTGATTTTCTGACTCTTAATTCTGACCTTTGGGGGTATTCCAGCCTAGATCGATAACTTGGAAGTTACATGTTTCAATTTCCAATGACTAAATGAAGCGTGGGGATGAGCGTGGGGAGGAAGATGGGGGACAGTCTGAGCACAAAGTGGCAGTTAGCTTAGCCTAGCATATCATAGCCCTATGGAAACATGGTAAAATGAGCAGAAGGAACCTGGTAGCTATGTCATGGATAGATCTTTTAGGTGAATGATTTTTAAACACCTCAACACAGGTTGAGGGAAGCTTTGTGGAACCCAGTGGACCAGTGATCTAGATGCACTGGAAAAAACGAAAACTAGATAAGTCATTTTTTCATTGCATTTGTTCTTGGTTTGAGGAGGTAAAAGAGACATTTTGCCAATGGAACAAGACAATTTACACTTAAAATAAGAAAACACAATTACAATGTCTTATTTCAAGTGCATATTATCTGATTATCTTATTCTAAGAGTAAAAATACTCATTCCATTGGGAAACTATCTCATTTACCGACTCAAATTAACAGTAAATACACATAATTTAAGACATTTTTACTTATTTCTAGATCGTTTTTCAATTGTGTTAGATAAATCTAAATTTACAGGCCTCGTTTCTGCCCCGCTGCTTTCTCTACAACAGCGTCTGAGCATTAGGTGACGTACCATGGAGGCTCATGGCTGACTAAGTTGTATTCATATTGGAACACAGCATCGTAATAATGAGAGCCTGAATCTGCATGAACTATTTGATCGGAAAATTGCTGTAAAATACCACTTAGAGCGACACAAAGACGATGTTGAGATGTTGCAGGATTAAAAATAAATCATGAAAATATGAAGATTTTGGGGTGAGTTTCACTTTAAGTAAACTAAAGCCATCAACCTGATGCCCAGAATATATTTTTGAAGAATATAAAGAAAATGCTTTTTAAAATGTCCTTTTAAACAAATCACTATGGAACATCAGTGTATTTATATAGGTAATATTAGCGTTTTTTAGAAGGAGTTTGAAGCTTCTTTAAATATGCTTTTGGCATTTTTTTTTTTTTTTTTTACTAGATTTATTTCTCTAGTGCTGTTTGTGTGTTTTGGAGTTTGACCTCCATTCTAATGCTTTTTTGGGGCTTAGTAGTTTGTCATTTGCATTTTTAATCTGTTGGCACACATTTGGCCATTTTATGGTGAAAAGGATGGTTAGTGTAACCAGTTAAAGCGTGCAAAACCCCACATTAAGCTCAGCTTAACATTCAGCAGGTACAGCACTCAGAGTTAAATTAATAAAATGTATAGAAACCAAACGCCACTGACCTTTGAACTCCTTTTTATTCACCTTACACTCAATAAAAACTCTTAAGTACATGTTTTGTGAATCAGTGGTTTAGATTTGTATTCTTACAATAACAATGTAAGGGATCTAACATAAGCTCTGCAGCTCAGAAGTGATGCTCATTGTTGGCGTTTTCCTCCTCAGCTGTTCTGTGTTGGTCTTGCATGTTTGGAGCTGCTGGAGAGAGATCAGTAAAATAAATGGACTGTCTGTAAGAAATAGAATAATGAAGCGGCTCACTGTGATGCCTGTGGCTCTGTCCCTAATAGGCCGAAATCAGGAGAGTTGAGGTGAAGAAGACACAGAACACCACCAGGTGGCAGATCGGTCCTAGGAGCTGGAGGGAGGCGGGGGGCGGAGCTCCAGAGGTGGCTCTTAATAATATTTCAGAAAGAAGTCTGGTCTACTGACAGGGTGGAGGAAATCTGTGTTAAACTGACAGTAAATAGTCCTTACCTTCAACAGAGATCCAGCTGGATGGAGACTCTCCATGACCTCTGATGTTACACTTGTAGAGGCCTTCATCAGAGCTGGTCACATGGTGGAGGGTCATGTGACCTTTGGGCTCAGTCCTGATGAGGGAGCCATCTTTATAGAAAGCAGCTGGGAGGTTGGAGGGAGTGGTCTTTGTTAGACAGCTCAGAGTGACGTCATCTCCCTCCATCACAGGGAGGACAGGACTCTGCAGGATCACTGATCCACCTCAACACAGAGACAAACTACAGCATTTCATCCATTTCCACACAGCTTCATCAACACTAACTCCACAGTCTGATCTTACCAGTGACAGTGAGGTTGATGCTGCCGCTGGCTGCTCCCTCTCTGGACCAACACCAGTAAACTCCACTGTCTGCTGGGTGGAGGTAGCTGATGCTACAGGTAGAACCAGCTGATTCCCCCCATTCCTTTCCACACTGAGTCCTGGTTCTTCTGACTGTGTTCCTCCATACAGTCCATCCAGCAGAGCTTTTTTCCTCCTCACAGCTCAGAAACACAGAGCCTAACTCAAAGAACTGAGATCTGCTGGGACTCACAGTCAGAGCAGCTGGGACACAAACAGGAAAGCATAAATTCAATATTCACCAAAGGAATAGAGTCATTAGACTTACAACATTTATCATTGTTTGATCCCCTAAATACATTCAGAATTGTGTAAGAAACTGACAGCATTTATTATCTTTACATTCACTGATACATTAATTAAGCGGCTGTTTTCATATATTTATATTCTTTTTTTTTATAGAAAAGTATAATTTGGGGTTTTTATGATAACATTTTCTAAAAAAAGTTGAGTCATAGTAATGAATTATATGTCACAGCTCCTCTGTTAGCCATCCCATTATGCACAGATCGGATGCCAGACAGTTGGGTTTAAAAAAAAAAAGATTTAGTGTAACGAATGGTAGAGAAAAACAAATACTCTGGTTAGTACGGTGGCCCTGAAGTGCAAACTGCAACTACAAATCTAAAAGCGCAACTACATTAAGGAAATTGCAACTACATAAAGCAAAGCGCAACTACATTAAGGAAATCACAACTACATAAAGCAAAGAGCAACTACATTAAGGAAATCGCAACTACATAAAGCAAAACATGCAACTACATTAAGGAAGACAAAACTACATAAAGCAAAGCGCAACTACATTAAGGAAATCGCAACTACATAAAGCAAAACATGCAACTACATTAAGGAAGACAAAACTACATAAAGCAAAGCGCAACTACATTAAGGAAATTGCAACTACATAAAGCAAAGCGCAACTACATTAAGGAAGACAAAACTACATAAAGCAAAGCGAAACCTCATTAAGGAAATCGTAACTACATAAAGCAAAGCGCAACTACATTAAGGAAATCGTAACTACATAAAGCAAAGTGCAACTACTTTAAGGAAATTGCAACTACATAAAGCAAAGCGCAACTACATTAAGGAAAACAAAACTACATAAAGCAAAGCGCAACTACATTAAGGAAAACAAAACTACATAAAGCAAAGCGCAACTACATTAAGGAAATCGCAACTACATAAAGCAAAGCGCAACTACATTAAGGAAATCGCAACTACATTGTCATGATCGAGGGGATTTTTCTGACCCACATGCAGGAAACCACAAGCAGTATTCGAAGGATCAATCTCTTTATTGAACTGAAAACAGATCCCAAGATGGGTTCAGACTGATCAGCTGCTTCTGAAAACGGAGAGGAGATGTTATTGGGGGTTCGGGAAGGGAATCTGTCCAAGTGGGGAAAAGTACGTGAGGAAGCTTACTGTTCCAGAAGAAGAGCCGATCCCGGAGGGGGCTTGTGGATTGCAAAGGTGGGCTGGAGACCAAACGATGGAGAGCGGGCAGGCAGACGGAGTAACAGCGGAGCCAACTTAGTCGGACAATCAGGCGGTGAAGGGTAGTCCAGCTGCTCCTTATAAGAGCTGCACCAGATGAGAAACAGGTGGATCACCTGTCGGGTTGGCACGCCCTCCAATTGGAGATCTGATTGGAAACCTGTAGTCTCAGCCACACACAGACACCATGACACTGCCCCCCCCTCAAGGGCCGCCACCTGGCGGCCTCCCAGATCCAGAGGACCTAGAGGCAAGAAAATCTCTGATAAGGGACTTATCTAAGATGAATGAACGGGGAACCCAAGAACGGTTCTCTGGACCCCAACCCTCCCAGTCTACGAGGTACTGGAAACCCCTGCCCCGTCGACGAATGTCCAAGATACTCCTGACCAAGTAGGCTGGGTAACCATCGACATCCAGAGGGGGTGGAGGGGACCTGGGAGGAGGACACAAGGGGCTAGACAGAACAGGCTTGAGTAGAGAAACATGGAAGACTAGGTGGATCTTCAGGCTTGGAGGCAGATCAAGGCGCACAGAGACAGGACTAAGAACTGAACTTATTCTGTACGGACCAATGAACCGAGGAGACAGCTTCTTATTTAAGGCTTTCAGCCTGATGTCTCTGGTAGAGAGCCAAACCTCCTGACCAGGTGAGTACAGGGGTGCAGGGGAACGTCTCTTGTCAGCAATGCGGCGGTTACGCTCGGCAGTACGGTTCAGAGCCTTTGTGACAGCCCTCCAGGTTTCTTTGCACCGACGGACATATTGTTGAACTGAGTTCACAGACAGATCCCTCTCCTCCAGGGGGAATAGAGAGGGCTGATAACCCAGAGATGCCTCAAATGGAGAGTAACCAGAGGCAGCCGAGACATGGCAGTTATGAGCATATTCCACCCACACCAGTCTTGAGCTCCACGTCGAGGGACGGGAAGAACAAAGACATCGCAAGGTGGCCTCAAGCTCTTGGTTCATGCGTTCAGTCTGGCCATTGGTTTGAGGGTGGAAACCTGAACTAAGCGCTGCTTTGGCACCAAGTGCCGAACAAAACTCCTTCCAAACCCTAGAGGTAAACTGTGGCCCACGGTCTGAAAGGATCTCAAGGGGAATCCCATGAAGACGAAACACATGTTTCACTAGAAGATTAGCAGTCTCTAAAGAGGAGGGGAGTTTCTTTAGCGGAACCAAATGACAGGCCTTCGAGAATCGATCCACTATTGTAAGAATGGTATTAAAGCCCTTGGAACAGGGTAAACCAGTCACAAAGTCTAAAGCTATACTAGACCATGGACGCTTGGGAACCGACAAGGGTTGCAGATAACCACTGGGAGGCTGGTTATGAGACTTGTTCCTGGCACAAACAACACAGGCAAGGACATATTCCCTGACGTCTTTGTACAAGGAGGGCCACCAAAAGTGACGTCTGATCAGGGCTATGGTCCTGCCTACCCCTGGGTGGCAGGAGAAGCGAGCTGTATGAGCCCAATGTATAAGATGAGAGCGAACAGCACCGGGCACAAAGAGGCGATTGGGGGGGCCATTCCCTGGACCAGGGTCAGATCTCTGAGCCTCAAGTACTTTGTCTCTTATGTCCCAGGTTAGGGAACGAATGATGCAGGAAGGAGGAACAATAGTGTCAACAGGGGTCTCGTCATTTGAGGAGAACTGTCTAGAAAGTGCATCAGGTTTGGTATTTTTAGAACCAGGTCGATAAGTTATTAGGAAGTTGAATCTAGTGAAGAACAAGGACCATCGAGACTGTCTAGGGTTTAACCGTTTAGCTTCCTGAAGGTATAAAAGGTTTTTGTGGTCCGTCCATACCACAATAGGATGAGAAGCCCCTTCTAGCCAGTGGCGCCACTCCTCAAAAGCCAACTTAATGGCCAATAGCTCTCTGTCACCCACATCATAGTTTCTCTCAGCTGAGGTGAGGGCATGAGAGAAAAAGGCACAAGGATGGAGTTTATTGTCCTCAGAATTTTGAGACAGGACTGCCCCAACTCCCACATCCGAAGCATCAACCTCCAGGACAAACTGTCTAGTAGGATCTGGTTGAGTCAGAACAGGAGCGGACGAAAATTTCTGTTTCAACTCTGAAAAGGCCTGCTCAGCCTCAGACGTCCATGAAAATTGTCTCTTAGTGGAGGTGAGTTTGGTCAGAGGTGCAACGGTCTGGCTGTAGTTTCTAATGAAGCGTCTGTAAAAGTTGGCAAAGCCTAGAAAGCGCTGCAGCTGTTTTCTTGTTGTAGGAGTTGGCCACTCCAAAACCGCCCTGACCTTTTCGGGGTCTGACTTCACCTGCCCGCTCTCAAGGATGAATCCGAGAAATGTTATTGAGGAAACATGGAATTCACATTTCTCAGCTTTCACAAAGAGTCGATTCTCCATAAGTCGTTGGAGGACTCGTCTTACATGTACTCTGTGTTCCTCTAGTGTGCGAGAAAAAATCAGGATATCATCCAGGTAGACAAAAACAAAGTCATTCAGGAAATCACGCAGGACGTCATTGATTAGTGATTGAAAAACCGCAGGAGCATTGGTGAGCCCGAAAGGCATGACTAGGTACTCAAAGTGTCCTAGGGGGTTTTTAAAAGCAGTCTTCCACTCATCCCCCTCCCTAATTCTGACCAAGTGGTAGGCAGTTCTTAGATCCAGTTTACTGAAAATTGTGGAATCTCTAACAGGTTCAAAGGCAGAAGTTAAGAGCGGAAGAGGGTACTTGTTCTTTATAGTAATCTGATTCAGACCCCTGTAATCAATACAGGGTCTGAGTGAACCGTCCTTCTTTGCTACAAAAAAGAAACCCGCGCCTAATGGGGACGAGGAGGGGCGGATTATGCCTGTGGCCAATGACTCATTCACATAGTTCTCCATACTCTCTCTCTCACGGTTTGATAGGTTATAGAGCCGGCTGGATGGCAGTGTAGCCCCAGGAAACAGATCTATAGCACAGTCATATGGTCTGTGTGGTGGTAAGGACGAGGCTCTGGACTTACTGAAAACTTCCTTTAAGTCATGATATTCGGGGGGTACGTTGGATATGTCAGGTGCTTTTACCTCTTTCATGGCACTGGATGAGGTTGGTGGGACAGCTGACTGCAAGCAAGTGGATAAACAATATGGACTCCAGGACTCCACTCGACCATTGCTCCAATCCAGGTGGGGGTTGTGGAGTGAAAGCCACGGGTAACCCAGAACTAGGGGAGACTGAGGAGAAGGAAAAACATAGAAACTAAGTTTCTCTCTATGGTTGCCAGACACAACGACTTCTATAGGTTCGGTCTGGTGTGAAATCACAGGTAGGGCCTTACCATTCAGGGCAGATACACAGAGGGGAGCAACCAGGGGAATGGTAGGAATCTTTAGCTGTTGTACCAACTCACTGTCAATCAGATTCTGCTCACACCCAGAATCAATCAGAGCACGGAGCTGAACTGACTCCTGCTCAATGATAAGGGAAGCTGGTAAGGCTAAACGGGAAACAGGGTTACTGAGACCACCCACCAGTATTCCCGTAGCTACTGGTGGGCTCTCTCTTTTGGCCGAAGGGGACAAACTGAAATGTAATGTCCAGCCCGGCCACAGTACAGGCACGCCCGGGCTTCAAAGCGACGCTGGCGCTCCTCCGGTGAGAGCCTGGCACGTCCCACCTGCATGGGTTCCTCCATGGGTAGATCTGGCTGGGGGCTAGCCCTTTGGGGGCCCCT